CTCTAAGGAGCTTTAGGTAGAAACCTCTTCTGAGGGGTCTGGACCGAGAAAATCCTGGGAAGCTCGCCGCAGAATCCTAGAATCATGGGAGTTGGAATGGGGGGGGGGCTCGAAGGCCATCGGGTCCCACTTACCCCCTGCTCAATCCAAACGAATCCCAATCAAACCAGATCCGACAGAGGGAGGTCTTAATGTTCTCTTGAAGGCCTCCAACGCTGGAGCGCTCACCGCCTCCCCTTGAGGTCACTGGTTCCCTTGTCGTACTCCTCTAACAGTTAAGAAGTTTTTCCCCGATATTCATCCGAAATCTGGCTTCCTGTCACTTAAGCCCATTCTTACACGTCTTGCACTCTGGGATGATTCAGAACAGATCCTGCCCCTCCTCTGTAGGACAGCCTTTCAAATATTTGAAAAGTGCTATCCCATCTCTCCTCCGTCTTCTTTCCTTAAGGCTAAATATGCCCAATTCTTTCATTTTTTCCTCCTAGGGCTTAGTTTCCATCCCCCTAATCATCCCTGTCGCCCTCTAACGAACTTGATCCAGTTTGTCAGCATCCTTCTTGACGTGTGGTGTCCAGAACTAGACACAGGACTAGTTTAGATGACGCCTAACCAGTGCTGAAAAGAGGGGGAATAGAGAAGGACTATTAAGTCATTAATTGGGGGAAAAATGGAGAGCCACCTGTCACTGATGAGGTAGCGTCACATTTCCTGCATCAGCAGGAATTGGGTTAAATGACCTCTGAGACCCCTTTTCATGCCTCTAGCAAGCTCACAAGCAAAAAGCTCTCTCCCATTCAGCAACTGACGTTGAGCGATAGACTGCGGCTGAACATGGAGGATCCATTTCACCACCACAGATAATCACCACTGACAAAACCAGCCTTCCATAGATTTACCAACCAGGCAGCACTCCTGCTTTGTTCTGCTTCTGTGTATCTTTCCCCCCCTCCCGGCTTTTTTTTTCTCCTTGGGTGCAACATCAATGCATTAAATTGAATGACTGAATAAAAGCCATGACATCTGGGGTGAGAGAGAGAGAGAGAGAGAGACTTCAAGAAGTAGTGCATATTTTTCATCTCGGCTGTTTTGCAGATAATGATGGCTGGCCATTATTATATAAAAACGAAGTTAATGTTTTATTAGGAAAAAAAACACAGCAAGCTCTGTTTAAACATTAAGCTTCAGCAGCTGTTCTCTCTTAAATGCACATACAGACACACATTAAACCATGGATTAAAATGGGGAAGAGGGACCACGGGCCAGGTTCAAAGAAGGTGCTCGGTCACAAACCTGCCCAAGATGAGCAATGAGGATCATTATTCTCATTATTAATCCGATCTATATCCCACCTTTACTCAGAACCGAGATCTACAGCAGTCCCCAACATAATTAAAAAACAGGCACCCATAAAACAACAATAAGCTATAATGTTATGATGCAAGTAAACAAGTGAGGACATTAAAATGGAACCGACAAGCCACTCTTCTGAAAAAGGAATCCATTAAAATAATAACATCTATAAAGTACAAAGTCACTCGTTAAGTGCCCGGGCCCTCCCTCATCAAAAGCCATCACGAGAATTCTTTTTTTATTAATATTAAAGGCAGCTCAACTGGAACTAACTCCACGGATATAACTGTTGAACCGTAAGCCACAACAGATAAATTAAAAGGAGATCTAGAGTTAAGATGAGGGCGCATGAGAAAAACCGGACGGCAGTGCAGAGGGCATTATGGGGTTCAAGGCAGTCCCTGTACACACCTTAATTTATTAACGAATTTCTAGAAGACGTCATTATGATCCGAGCCCTCACTCCGGCCTGCCCCCGCCTGCGATTATTTTAAATGTAAATTTAGTAGAGCTGGCAGACAAGCCACCTCTCACGCAGCTAAATTTAAAATTAACTCTGCAGATTTAAATGCTGCGGGTGGGGGGGGAAGGGTGTTGAGGCGCTGTCAAGGGTAAAAATAAAGACTAGAAGAGCGCTGGTAAAATCAAGGGAGGAAAAATGGAAAATAAAAGGGGGGGAGGAGAAATACAGCACTCTTAACACCTAACAGATGCATTTCGGTGCGAGCTTTTTTGAGGAAATGGAAAGGGAGTTCCCGGTTTTGAAATAATAATAATAATAACCATAATCATTTCCTGGTTTCAAGCTCTCCTCTTAAAACTTCTTTCTGTGATTAAAGAGATCGAGATAACGCTATTATTCTTGGAGCGCGATGCTTCGATCCGCCTTCAGCAGAAAATGCCGCTCGACCAGGAGCCACCAGCGCATCGAATTAAATTATAATTATAAACAAGGGTAAACCCGTGTGGCTGTTTTTGCAGGCGAAACTAAAGGCACACAGGAAGCCGCCTCCGAACATCATCCTCCCCTGCCATGCACTTTCCTTGTGACTTGGGAGGATGACACCGCACCGGGCACGCGCACCTCGAGAGCGCGCCCCCCCCCCCGACACGACACGCGGACCGAGTGTTGCAAGAATGAAACCGCAGGCAGAGGGGAAAAAATGAAGGGGAGGGAGAAGCAGGAGGCAGAGGGCGTGTCCCCGGTGCACGTGGTCGGGGGCGGGGCCTCTACGTCACCCGCCCGCCCCCCAGCCAATGGGACGAGTTTGGAACGCCGAGCAGACACGCAACGTTCCAAAGCTTGCGGGGGGGGGCGAGAAGAAGGGGGGAAAAAAAGATACACGCGGCGCCAGCGTTCCATTGTGGCCTTTAGAATTCCAGGCCACGCGCCACCCGCGGGAGGAGATCAAAGGGCCCCCCTCCCCGTGTAGAACAGGCCCTTCCCACGTACAAACGGCCTCGGGATCTCGCCCAGCAGATTTCCCCGTGAAGGGGCAATGGAGGGGGGGTTAGAAGAAGGAAACGACGAGTTCAAATGCTCGTGTGAATACCCGCCCCTCGCCTCATTAAGGGAAGCGCGGAGGGGGGGGGAAGAGCCGTACTATGTTCGAACGAGGAAGGGGGCAGGAAAGCAGTGAGACGTGTATCGTGTGAACGCCCTGCAGATTCCCCCCCCCTGGAAGCGAGAAGAGGAGAGGCGGGCCACGATCCGAGGGAGGAGGGAAAGGAACACAGTTGAAAAGTATGTCGGAGGAATCGCTACCCCCCCACCACCACACATAACGCAATTTTCCCCACGAAGGAGGAAAAATGCCAAGGCGGGTCACGATCCAGCGAAAAGCCAGCGGGGGAATAAAGAGGGACAAGCTAAAATCGTATGAATCCTCCCATATAAGGAGGGGGGGTTCTCAAAAAGGGGGGAGTAAGCAGAGCTACACGCGTAGCCTATGAACTCCCTCCCTCTGTAACCAGCAACGCGCCTCCCCTTTAGCTGTCATTATGCAAATAAAATGGAATTAAAAACAAGGTCTGGAATGCAACAGCGCCGCCGCCCAAGGAAGCCGCTTCGCCCTCCCACCCACCTCGAGGAAGGGAGGCGATTCTCCCCACCAGGAAGGAAACCCGAGCATGATTTCGGCTTTATTGGTTATTTTCCTTTCCTACTTGGGGGGGAGGGCGATCCCTCCCTCTTTCCCGAACCCCCACCCTCCAATGCCATCATCCTCATTTTTGGGGTGGCTGCGGAGCGACGCCAGGGGAGGGGGAGAAAAGGGGTCTCCTTTGCATGATGTAGCCTTTGCACATTTTCTTTTGGCGCAGCCCGACATGACATCGTTCAGACGACGCCCCTCTCCTCCTTCTCCCCTCCCCGCGCCCAGTCCCTCCCAGCTTGTGACACGCGTCTCGCCAACGCCGTGGCCCCCGCGGATAACAAACGACGGGGTGCCCCTCAGGACCCCTCGTTTAGAAAAACCAAAACCCGGATCGTGTGAATGGGGAGGCACGGCTGAGGGCTCCAGACGGCTTGAGCACGCGGAAACGCGTTAATCGCCCTTAATTATGCTTATTACGTGGGTCGCCATGGGTGGACGACGTGACAAGGGATCGCAGAGGTGTCTGGAAAGCCCACCCCAACTTTAAAACAGATTTATTCTTTATCCTGCAAAACCGGGAAGTGATCCGGGTTGGGGTTTCGAAAGGGGAGGGGGAGATCAAAGCAAAAGATCAAAGGACGCCCCGATCTGCAGGAAACAGCATTTCGTGGCTTGCATTTCCCCCCACCTCTCTCTCCCCCCCCCCCCTCGGGCAACCGTGTGTCAGCAAATTCCTCCCCAACGTCTGCCTGGAGAGCCTCCCCGTCTCCCGTCTGGGTAAAAGGCTTCCGATCGCCGGCACAAGCCTCCCCTTTTACTCGGGAGTAAGTTCCCCCGAACCTCGTCGGGGCCGCCTCCCGAGGAAACTTGCCAAGAGGACCCGGGGACGGAAGCTGGAGCCTTGCACGCCCGCCTTATGCAAGCGTGCTTGAACCGCGGTGCACACCCTTGCTTGCACACGCACACGCGCGCACACCCCGCCCCAATCCCCCCCTCCTTTGCAGTAAATAAAGAAACGAAAGCTGGGGGGGGGAGGAGGACAATGGGAAACTCGCTGGAAAGTCAGGTGACTTCCTTGCAACACCCAAGCCAGCCAAAAAGACAAGAAAGAAGGAAAAAAAATTGAAATAAATGCAAAGGCAAGCCTCAGCCCCTGCTCGGGCCTGATCCCGTGCTCCTCGGGAGTCAGCCCTTTCCCGCCCTCCGGTGTCAGCCTCCGGAGAAACTGGCAGCGCAGGAAATCCCAGAGCTGGGGGGAAAAAAACCAAGAAATAGCCGCAGCAGGAGAGGATCCCAAGCACGCCGAGGGAGAGGAAGGGGCGAGGCGGGCCCTGCGGAACTGCCCGAGACTTGTTCGCCCAAGGCAAAACCCGCCCCAGATCGCCTCTTTGCTGAAGACGAGGAAGGAAGGAGGGAGGGGGGGAAGGATGCCCCCCCGGGACCCGTGATTTTGCACGCGGACCCTCCTCCTCTTCCTCTCCCCCCCTCCCCACCCGACCCCACGATCCGGCTGCTCCCTCTCCCTTCTCTCCCCCCCCCCAGTTGGCTCCCCACGTGTTTTCTGTTGTTGCTGGGCTTGCCATTCTAGGAACCTGGCCGCTTCTAACAACGTCTCAATGCTCATCTCTCGGAGACGGCGTCCCAGGAGAGGCTCCGAAGTCCGGGGGGGGGGGGAGGGGGAGAAGGGTTGCACGCCCGACACGGATTTTTCCAAAAAGTGAAAACTAAAAAAAAATTTTTTTTAAATCGTGGAAACAACGG